GCAGCTAGGGTTAGAGTTGGCGAGTTGCGGGGACGGCGAACGGTGCGGCGGCTAGGGTTAGGTCTGGGCGGCGGCGACTAGGGTTAGGGTTGGGAGTTTTTATGTTTTATTATTATTATTTTTTATTTGGAGAACTTATGCTGAAATAACCCTTCCTTAAACAAGCTTAGTTCTTCTAAAGAGAATATCCAAAGCCTTTTGGAGGCCGATTTCTCGGATGGCGATGAAGATTCACTTATTAGCATCTGTAGTTATGATTCTTGTGATAGAAAAGTCATTGTTGAGGACTCAATTGCTAGTGGTTTTGATATTTTCTCTAAAGATGGTCTTACTCCTCTATTCAATGAGGCTGAAGATAAAGAAACTTCTTGTTTACCGTTTGAAGATGACTCTTTGCAAGAGTTATTCAATGGATGTTCGGTCCCAAAGATTTGTCAGATTTTTTCAACAAGTGGGCATTACTTTTGTTCCAATAGATAGTGTGTAACTTCTTTTTCCGAGATGACACGTTGTTCTTCGCTATATTTCTCATCTATTTTTGAGGTTTTGGTTCCCTGTTCTTTTGTTAGGTTTTGTTTTGCTGGAGTTGTATTTAGTTCTGTTTAGTTTGGTGGTTTTCTGTCTGGTTTTTTGGTTTGTTTCTGGTTTTTTCTTTTAGGAGCTATTGTTTTGGCTTTTTTGGTTTAGTTGGTAGTTGGTTTTTATTTTTCTCCTTTTGGAGGTTGTATCTTTGAACACTTTGTATCTTTTCATCTATCAATGAAAAGTTGTTTCTTGTTCAAAAAAATAACCCTTCCATTGAGTAGAGTCCAAGTAAACCTTCCATTTGATAATAACACCTCCATCACTTCTAATTCATATATTATCTATCACGTTTTCTTGTTAAGTGGTTCTGTGCCAAGCGTGATTGATTGTTCCTCTTCGAAATCTTTCATTGGTGCAATCTTCTTTTCATTCAATAAAAAATTGCAGTGAAAGTCAGCCACAAACTTGAAAAATCCATAAGGACTTTTTTATGGGCAGATGTAGCAAACAGGTCCTTGAAGCATCTTGTCAGATGGAACATCACTTCTTTATTCCGAGAAGAAGGAGGCTTTGGGGTAGGTAACATTTGAAGGAATCGAGCACTTTTAGCTAAATGGAATTGGCGTTTTAGCTCAGCCTCGTTTGCATTATGGCAACAGGTTGTTGGCAGGTATCTATGGTACAGATCATTTTGATTGGAATGCATTAGAAAAGAGGTATGGTTCTAATTTAAGTCCTTGGAACAACATAAACAAGCAGTGGCACTTGATGGAAAAATTCTCTTTTTTCAAATTAGGGAATGGAAGCCGTATTCTCTTTTGGCAGCATAAGTGGTTGGGAAATTCTTTGATTAAAATCAGATTTCCTCGTTTATTTAGAGTATCCTCTTCTCCATCCATGTCAGTCTATGATGCATGGGATCAGAATACTTCCTCTTGGAGATTGTAAACTAGAAGATTGTTGAAGGATGAAGAAATAGTTGAACTTTTGGAACTTCTTTCCGACCTCAGTTTGATTGTTTTAAAAGAAGAAGATGACTGTAGAAGGTGGGTTTAGACTCTTCTGGAGTGTTTTCGGTCAACTCTTTAAGAAAGCCTAATGATTTCTCCTCCTTGTTACCAAGAAACTATTGATTCTTCTCAATGGTATGGTTAACACAGTGGAAGTTCTTCAGAAAAAGCTTCCAGAAATGATCCTTGTGCCACCCATTTGTGTCTTTTGTGAAGCTTGGAGTGAAAATTAGATTGCATGTTTTTTCTCTTTGCCCATTTTCTGTCAGTTGTTGGATATCTTTGCTGCGGCTCTTCAGTTTGTCATGGGTTTATGATTCAGAAGTTTCCAAGATGGTACCCCAGCTGTTGTCCGGGTTGTGTTTGCCTTAAAAATCAAGTCTACTTTGGATTAATGAGTGAAAGCTTTTGTTTGAGAGAAGCAAAAGGATGTTCGAAGGAAAAAAGAAGGCACTTGAAATTTTCAATATTTCTAAATTCAAAACCTCAATGGTGTACTCTTTCTAATTTATTCTCATGGTATGATATGTAATAATTAGGAGGCATTTATAATTCCGGTTTAATCTTTTTATGTTTCTTTTCATTACTTTTACTTGTCCCTTTCACTCCCTCGAGAGTTTGTATCTTTGAACAATTTTTGTTCCTTTTCATAAATCAATGAAAAGTTCGTATCTTGTTAAAAAAAAAAAAGAGCATGAGATCATCTTGTATTTGGGTAAGGTAATTGTTGATGAGAGAATTACCATCCCTCTTAAATAGGTTGGGTGGTGTGGTTTCTCTGCTTTTGACACCGATTGTACACTCTTTCTAGTAAATATTATCCATGATACTGTACATTATTATAACTACTTGGATTAGTTAGAGTTAATTTGGCTGTTTGGTAAATACACAACTTGTTTAATAGTTCAGGTTTGTAAGAGGACTAGTTTTTGATTGAGATGAGAAAACGAGTTGCATCATCTTTACAGAATGATTTGGATTAGGTCCAGACAACCTTTTTATTCTTGTAAGATGACTAGTTTTTGATTGAGATGAGAAAAATGAGTTACATCATCTTTACAAAATGATTTGGATTAGGTCCAGACAACCTTTTTATTCTTTGCCCTCCTGTGTCGGATTTTTAATCTGTGTCGATGGATTGTTTTTGTATTAACTTAGTTTAGACTTCCTAGTTCAATTCATGCCTTTGTTTGTTTGATAATAAATGGACATTTCAGTTTCTCGAAGCTTACTACTACAGATGATAGCTAGAGATTAGAGATAAGACTGCAAGATCTAAATTTATAACAAATACTTGACTTCACTTATGGAAGCAGTTACGTAAAAAAAGCAGAGTATTGTAGATGGGATGCATAAAAGGGTGAGCTTACTTTGATCATGCACCATCCTTTAACCTCAGGAAAATTGAGCTCCCTAGCGAGAAAAAAAAAAAGAGAAAGAAAGAAATGAAAATTTGATTTTGATTCTTAGCTGCATTGACAAATTTTATATCGGTTTACTTGTAAGCAAGTCACATTTGCACATCTTTTCCAGCTCTTATGATAGCCATGTACATCTTTTTAACTCTATATTTTCATCTTTATACAGTCTCGGGCACTTGGTATGATCCGGTTTCATGTTGTTTCTGTTCTCAAAAGTGCTTCTTCTCAGGTGAAGAAAAGTTATCCATGTTGACTGACTACCTACAAGTGCATACTAACATGTTTAGACACAATCGTTGTGGCACTTTGCTGTTAGATGTCTTAATTGTAGTTAAAGTTATTGTTTCATTTACCAGGTTCAGGCAGCTATGCGGAGTAGTAGCGGCAGTAATACTGCTGTTTCTGAAGGTGTAGAAGCATCTTTTATCTATGTGCGATTTGAGGCAGCAGCAGAAGAGGTAATGTTTCTGCTTACTTTGGCAATAAAATATCTTGTCATTATATTGTTATAAATCAAGCTGTCAGCTTTCCATACAAGGAGCAGACTGCTTTCAGAATAAATTTAGGAATCCTTGAAAGCATTATAGATGGATGACTAAATATTGTAGTTGTGTAGCTCAAAACTATGTTGGAAGAAATTGAGAGCAGATCTACTAGAAAAGAATATATAGAGATCCTTGCAGAATGCCATAGATTGTACTGTGAGCAACGACTTTCCCTGGTGAGCTCACTATATATAGTTGTTTACCTACATTTTATAGCCTTTGGATTGATGGTGATGTGGCAATACCTCGTTATTTTAATATTGAATACTATGTAGATAAAAAACATAGTGCATCAGCGTATATCTGAGTTTGCCAAGAAAGAGGCTCTCCCATCATTGACTAGATCTGGATGTGCATATTTGATGCAGGTAATATTTTCTTGCATTTTAATGATATATAAGGTAGATAAAAGTTAGGATGCCTCTTGTACATTAAATTGGTTTTTACTAATAGTTTCTAACGAAGGTCAGTGATGTCTTCCATTCTTTAGTTAGTTGCAACAGTGGAATAGAGATTTCAAATTGTTTTTAAAATTTAGAAACAAGGTGGTAGAACTTTCATTTTTTAATCTTTTGGGGACGAAGTGACTATAGAAATTACAAGAAAAAAATACTGCATTCAACTAAATTTATGATAGTTTGTATAAAAATATTTCTGGAAAACGCCTCATATCCATTAGTGGGAAACTTTAGAGGTTGTAGTGTAAAAATGTTGTAAAGGTAGAATGCTATGTTCTCCCTTCTCTCTTAGATTTCTCATTCAGGAGTGTTCACCATCAGAATTTGTTTCAAGTCTTGTCTTCAAGATTACAAGGAAGGTGAGACTCGAGAGTGTTCTTCAGCAGGATTTGCTATAAGATTAAGGTTTCTTGAAGCCTGGATTTGAAAAGTTGCAGTATTGGAAACAAGTTTTATTTGTTTTGGTGTGAAAGTGATTGTTGTTTTATTAAAGATTCTAAGAATGTTCAACTTCCTCTTCATGTGTCCCAACTCCATTGGTTTGAGAATGCTGTGGTGGAATGTTTGCATCTTTCCCTTTTTTTTTTTAACAAGATACTAACTTTTCATTGATAGATGAAAAGGAACAAAATTGTTCAAACATACAAGCTCCGAAAGGAATGAAGATAAAAGAAAAGGAAAAACATGAATTAAATACAAATGAACCGGAACCTAGCAAGGAGTTGTAAAAGCCTCCCAATTCATACCAATCATACCAGGTGAATATGTGGAAATCTCAACTAAGTAGGGCATTTAAAGATCTCATCTTTTATGGAATCGATCCCCCTTTCACTGTACAAGAATATGTGGAGCTTGGCATGTCTGGAAGCACTAGGAGTTGTAAAATGGGATTCTAGTGAAAGCGCTAGAAAGAGGAAAGAAAGGATTGTCCACCATCAAGTATCAAGTTGCTGGGGGGACTTCTTTCTGAAAGATCTGGGTAGATAAGCAGCTCAACTCGAAGAGGAGAGGGAGGGTGAACATAATTTTTTTTTAAAGCATTGAGTTGGGCAAAGAGAGGGGGGAAAGCATTCTTCCGAGTGTAAGCCCATTCCTTGTGAGAAAGTCACCAATATATTAGAATTTATTATTGACCAACCTTGAAGAGATAGGGAGATTAGCCCCAATTCGACGAYGAAGGATAATGTGACTGAGGAAACCACTATTGCAGCTTTCAATGAGGCCATTCGGGATGACCGTCTAAATAAAAGTACTTTGAGCTGGGTTGTAGCCCGAGCGACCAGACTTAACATAAATGTAGCCACTAAAGCCATTCTAAAAAGGGGGAAAGATCTTTGAAGCTAGAGTGGTCAAAGAATCAGCATGGGCCAGGAGTAGTAAGTTCATCCCCAACAAAGCTATCCTCCTTCGGAGCTTGTTTGAGTTACCATTGTTGATCCATCTGCTTTTGAGCTAGCTGTAGTGGATTTTGGAGTTGCACTGATCGACAGGAGGAGCTCAAATTAGTAAAYGGAAAAGAAGATGCAAAAGCTTTCGCAGTTACTCGCATACACTCTTTTTATCAGTATTTGGTATTTGTACTCTATGTCAGTCTCATTAGAAAATAATAGAGCTCATCTGGACTAAGCGAGGCTGCCATATCCGAGACCATTAGTATTAGTTCCCCTCCCACCAAAGCTTCCGAACTTGCCAAGAAGTGGCCTATTCCTACCATCTTTCTATCAGTTGCAACATGAAGAACATGCCTCAAATTATGAGGAGGGGTCATCCGAGCGTATTTAAATAGATACTATGTTGACATATGGATGCCTACGTCTAACCATTCCTCGGCTCCTCGGGCTTGGTTCGAGATATGAAGTTTGGTTATGACGAAGATCGATGGGTTTCCAGAGAAGGAATGCTGATCGTTCTGTGTTCATAAAAAGGAAACAAGTGGAAACTACGGGAAGAAAAAAAATCGAAAAAAACCAGGCTCCATCTACCTTTCACAGACATCAGGAACGAATGAAAGAGCCGCTACTTCTCGCTCTCCAAGTCCATCTCTTGATTCCAATGCTTTAGCCCATATCTCCATCTTCTGGCAAAGCAGATCTTTCCTTTCTCCCTCAACCTTCACTCACTGGATCAGCTTTATCTGGGTTCAATCCTTTCTTCCTAAACGAGATCGATGATAGAGTATATATATTTGAATAAGACTTGCTTTTGCCAGCATGACACCAAGCACAGACTGGCAGCAAGGAGTCAATTGAATGACCAAAGCATCGTACTTGCTGCTCGTCAAAGCCATAGCTTGCTGTCTACTAAACGAGCCTCCATTGCCCGCTTGGCCTATATCTCTTTTTAAAATATACTCAGCCATGAGCGGTCCTCGGTTTCGTTTAACGAACTTGACGAGCGCAGATGTGAGGAAGCGGGAGCAATAAAACAACAAATCTCTCGCTTAAGGCTTTCATCCTATGAATCACGGACATGGATACGGGACACGGACACGGACACGACAGGACACAGCGATACGTCAATTCCTAAAAACTTAGGACATGGACACGTTGGGGATACGTTTATTTTTTTTTAATATTTTTTAGGATATAAGTAAATTTAACACAAAAAATGCTAAATACAAGTGAGCTCTAACTCTTGTGTAAGAGCTTTTCTTGATGGCTTGACAAAAGTTGCATTCCCATGAAAAATTTCCACCTCACTCAATTTTTGAATTTTAGTTACATATTGCGAAAGAGGTTTTGAATCATCTTCAATGCTAGAAGAGGCTGTTTCTTGGGATGGATTTGAATTTGATGAAGATGCCATCCTAATGTGTAAGCACAATGATAGAAAATAAAAATGAAATAAACAAAACTAAGTGGACAGAAACAAAACGTACAAAAAAAATCAGTTTACTCAAATTGGGGTTGTAAAAAAAGAAGAAGGGATGTAAAAGATGATTGTTTTTATTCGAG